AATGTTGAGGAAAAATTTATTTTGATTCAGTTCAAATAAATTTCAAGGGATACTAGCAACAGACTAAAATGACCATTTTTTGATTTTTTAATTCGATTTACAAGGTGTATCCCGAGAACTCTGGATTTGATAGGCTTTCCTGGTCAATTGGTTTTGTGATCATATCGGCCTCGGCCATGCTATTCCGAAAATTTTGGCTTACGCCCTCTTTCCTTATAAACCTCCAAGTTAAATTTCTCGTGCATTCGCATTCTTGCACGGCCAATCGTTCTTCTCATACCTTATTAACAATTTTTCAGATCCGTTACATCAGTATGACGATCTCGTATAACCTGGATGTTTCGTCAGTAACCACCTTCTCCTTCTTCAAATTGCTCTTCCGATGGAAAGGTTCTATATGGAAATCTGTAAAAACGGAGCTCATTATATGGGTGTTCTTTTACTACGTAATTTTTTGTATATACCGATATGTTTTGGATGAAAACTCTCAAAGGTTTGTCACTCACTGCTGACTACTAACTTGTTAACCTCTATTTATGAGAACACTTTGTTTTTAGCACCTTCGAAAAAATTGCTGCACATTGCGACAAAAAGCTTGACTATATCCCCCTTCAGTTCATGCTTGGATTCTTTGTTACAGTGATCATCGATAGATGGAAAAATATTTTCAACAATATGGGATGGATTGAAAAGTAGGTGAACTTTTCAAGCAGTTTTTTATCACGAGAGTGTGAGACGCTAGCAGTTACAAGGAGCGCTAGCAGATTTTTCTCGAGTTAATTTCAAGCCGGTATTTTGCATGAAATAAAAGTTGAGGAGTAATAATTCGAAAATAGAAAATTCACCAAATAGAAAATATATACAAGGCGAGCATTGCATGCGCAAATGTTCAGAGGAAGTCAGAAATCATTACAGCGTAATCGTTTGTCAAAAAATCTACTTGGATTCATCGGTATTTAGGCAGAAATTGAGCTTTTTTGCGTATCAAATTTTAGCTGACCATCTTTATTTGATCATCAAAGCCTGCTGGCAATGAGACTAGAATGAAGAATCAGCGACTCAATTGCTTAAGAGGGGCAATCCTTAAGCAGCACAAGCTTTGAAAAACTCATTGTTTGACAAATCAGCATTAGTAAAACTGCCTTTGAGCCAATGGTTGCAGTTTATGCTAGTGCCACAGCCGCCTATGTAACCCTTAGGGCAAAAGTGGAAGACGGTTTTTGCTAATCTCTGAGTTTACCGTTTAACTTACCAGTGAGACCATAAAAGACTCTGTAATAAAATGTTACTGTTGTAATCAATCTAAATTTTAACGACACAGTAGGCACGCTTTTGGAATAAGAATTTTTTCGAATGCGACCACTTATCCAGTGCATATGAACATATAAGTAGCATGAACATTGAAATTCGTGGATTTCACAAATTATTTCATTAATGAAACATAAACTATTTAGATTAGATTGAGCAATGTTAACTTAAGTCAAGAAAAAAAAGATCAACAATTTTGAAATAATAAAAGATCAATTAAACT